GGGACGGGATAGTTCTTAACGGCCTCGATTTTGCGTGGATCCACCTTGAGTCCCTCGCGGCCGACGATGTGGCCTAGGAAGTTTACTTCGGGCTTGTTCAGCTCGCACTTCTCACGTTTTGCGCGGAAACGCGCCCCTTTGAGGGATTCGAGGACCGCGCGCATGTGTTCGAGGTGACTTGATGGATCTTTGCTGAAGATGAGGATATCGTCCAGGTACACAACGCAGTAACCGGCGTCGATGTGTTTTTTAAGCACGGTATTCATGACCTTTTGGAAGGTCGCCGGCGCGTTCGTCAACCCGAAGCACAGTACTTTGTACTGGAACGTCCCGAAAGGTGTTATGAAGCTGGTTTTGGGGATGTCCTCCTCCGTGATGCGGATTTGATGATAGCCGCTTTGTAGGTCAAGGGACGAGAATATGCTCGCACCCTGAAGTTTGTTGAGGAGGTCGGTGATGTTTGGAAGTGGATACCGGTTTTTTACGGTGATTTTGTTGAGGGCGCGGAAGTCGAGGCACATACGCAGCGAGCCGTCCTTCTTTTGTGCGAAGAGTACGGGCGCGCCGAAGGGTGATTTTGATTCCTCGATGAAGCCTTTGGCCAGTAAGTCCGCGAGCTGCTTTTTCAACTCCGTTTGCTCCAACTGGGAAAGTCGGTACGGCCGGGAGTACGGTGGCTTTTTGCCAGTTTCTAGCTCGATTGTGTGGCCAGTGCCGAGATCCGGCCCGAGGCCCGTTAAGGGCTCAAAAACCTCCTTATATTCGTCCAGCAGTTCTTCCAGTTTATCTGGCGACACCAGGGTAGGGTCGGACGTGGTCGCCGTTGCGGCGTCCATAGCGTTTAGCTGGGCGATATCGTCACTGGTTATGAAGGCAGCGTAACAAGACGCTCCTTGTTTCTGCAGCTTTTTAATCTGCTTTAGAGACACCAGGTTCGCGCAAGGTGAAGTGGCCGCGTGTAAGACCGCCGTCACGTAATTCATGACCGCAACACCTTCGGACTGCGGCCTGTTTAGGCTCTGCAGCCGATATGAGCGGCCGTGGCGCGTCACCATGCAGGTGCCCTGTCCAAAGTCGAGTAATGCACTGTGCTCTCGCATCCAACGGCTGCCGAGAATTAGGTCGATACCGTCGGCTAGCTTAGGGATAACTTGTGCTACGATTTCGCAGCGGAATCCGTGGATACGGAGCGACATATGCACCTGACCTTGGAGGCGGACGCTATTTGCGCCATCTCCTAGCACGCAAGTAGCTACGTGGCTAGTGAGGGGCTGTAAACCCAGTTTTTGCACAAGTGCGGCAGATACGAAAACGTGCGAAGCACCTGAGTCGACTAAGGCGACAGCTTTTGTGCTAGTAAAGTTGCACGGTAGTAGTAGCGCGGTGTTTTCAGTCAGAGGTTCTAGTGCAGAACACTTGGACTTTTCCTGGCAGGGGTCGAGCCATGCTTGAAACTCGCCGCTGCAGTTTGGGGACCTTGTGCGACCACCTCCGGGTTTAGGTTCGGAGAAGATACTGGAGTTTTTTGTAAACTCTTTGAGTAGGGTCCAACCGCGTGTTTGAAATTCCTTTTCTAGGTGGGCGCACTGGGCACCAAAATAACCGCAC